GCGTTGACGTGAGCTTCAAGAATGTGGCCACCCTCATTTTTTACATGCTTGTATCGTAGGGGGTACAAAATGCGCATCTTCCCCGTGCATAGAAGAATCTAGAAAAATGTGGCTCATTTTTTGTTTTTGTATCTAGCCTTAGTTTCTCCCTTTGCCCTTTTAGTGATACACCTGCTAGGCCCCTTGGAGTAGTGGCATGTTTATCTTTTGCTTGTGCTATTTCTAGATATGCACACCCATTACAAGCATCTATCTTGGTCTTCATAGCCTCAGCCTATGCCAAGTATAGACTCTTGTATTAGTCTTATTTCCATTTTGATTTAGGCCACCTTGTTGGTGTTTCTTATATTCTCCTATTTTGGTCGACTTTGTTGTAAATCTTGTACATTCTATTTTGAGTTATTAAATCTATCGTTGTGAGAAAAAAAAAGTAGTGCCTCCCCCCCCCTCCACCCCCATATTCACAACTCCAAGAATCTATATGTATTGAGTCAGAAATTCATACATTTTTTAGGAAAAAGTTGCAATATTAACTGATCGTAATAATTGAACACTGTTATAATTAAGTGTTGGACGTGTGCATGTTTTATTCTCTATAGTCAGTTGTATTCCTAGGCATATATGTTCAGTTTTATGCATTTTCTCTTAGTGCTATAACTGACTTAGTCAGTTATATTCTTAGAGCTTATACAAATATTGTACTTCCATCTTCTGCAGCAGTAGTGAAAAATATAATGATGGCTTGGCTTATTCTTTCATATTCTGTTGTTTTTTATTTCTTAATTATGGATCTCATTTCCTTTCATGGTATCAGAGTTAGTCCATGTTGACTTGTCTTTGGTATTTTCCTCCTGTTTTATTTCTTGTTGATCTTGCTTTAAACCCAAAATAGAATCTTCGTCAACATCTGGAAATGAGAACCCCTCACTTATCTCACCAACTTAGCCAGTTCTTATCCAACCCCAAAATCAAGTTATTACAGTGAAGTTAACAGAAACAAACTTCCTGATTTGGAGGCAACAAGTTTTGGCTGCAGTTAAAGGATATGGCTTGGAAAAGTTTCTTCTTGGTGAGCAACCAACACCTTCTCAGGTTGTGCTTCAAGAAGGTGTCTCAGTTCCAAATCCCGAGTTCATAACCTATGAAAGGCAAGATAAACTTCTGGTCTCTTGGCTTCTCTCTCTTTATATGAAAGTATTATGTCCTTGATGGTTGGTTTGAATACTACCTTTGAAATGTGGACTGCTCTTCAAACAAATTTCTCTGGTCAGTCTAAAGCTAGAATCATGCAGTACAAATTTCAGCTTCAAACCCTAAAGAAAGGATCTTTATCGATGAGAGAATATTCCAGTAAAGCGAAGAGTCTTTTTTATGCTTTAGCCTCAGCTTGTAAGATTATACCTGAAGATGATCACATTATGCATGTCTTAACTGACCTTGGAAGTGATTATGATGCTGATGTGGTATCTATAAATTCCAGATTTGAAGACTTCTCTCTTCAGGATGTTCATGCTCTTTTGTTGAGTGTTGAGAGTTGAATTGATAATACAAAATCAGCTGAAGAAGAAGTTAATCCAATTGCAAATGTTGTCACGAAAACTAAAAAAAAAAAGGAGTACAACTCTTTTGGCCAACATGGAAGAGGCAGAGACTTTAATCAAAGAACAAGAGGTTTTGGAGGTGGTTATAGAGGAGGAAGAGGTAGAGTTAGAATGGTTGTCAAGTATGTCATAGAAATAATCATAGTGCAGACAGATGCTACTACATGTTTGATCCTTCTTATGGTCCACCTCAACACAATCCTACATCTTCTCAGTTCAAGAACTATCAAGTTGGTGGCAACAGATCTTTCAACAACCAAAATATGAACTCATGATACTGCTCCATATGAAAACTCTTGGTATCTTGATTCTGATGCCTCAAATCATGTCACTCATGAACTTACTGTTGTAGCAAAAATTGTTATTTTTACCGAGTACCGAATCGAAAAATTCATTCCCGAGTCGATCTCACGAGGAAGGCGGTTCGGAATTCAGCTTTGGAATCAATCACACATAAAAATAAAATAGATCCTAAACACTCTAATCAGATATCCGTTTGGATGAATTATTAACTAAGAAATAAAATAAAAATAATAATCTACCTAAAAATGCAAACGAAACAAAGATGGAAAAGCTAGGAAGTCGGGGAATTAATTCAGGTTCTACTCGCACACCGGGACATGAATCATTCTGTTCTAGATTGATGCTTTCGCTTAAACATCTAGCGGTTTGCTCCCAATAACTCTTCGTAACAAGAAATTGAACATAGACGAACAAACTCGAGCATACGACACATGCCAATTATCCCAATCCCAGTAACTTTTTTAACAAGGGATGGGTCATCGACAAACGCGTATTTCAACCCAAAACTTATAGACTAATTAGTTACGACATCATCTACCTCATGCAAGCCTAGGTCTACGATTTCTCCTCTTTCGGGTCTAAAAATTGCTAATTCAATTAGAAGAAGTTTAATCAACTAATCACATAGAATCGACAAACTCTAACTCGACAAATTAACATCCAATTGTCACAAATAGCAAGATCAAAATGTCACTTTTCGATTATATCAATCTGTCGAACAAGAATTCAACAATTCTGAATCAATTCAACCCCCACAGGAACGAACAATTCAAGCCCGAGAGATACGAATTGAATAAGAACAATCATCCTCCATCCTAACAATAAGAATTAGCTAGGTGTTGTTTCGTGGAAGTACAAAAAACAAACTTTTATAGCTCGGTCAACCATGGAGTCGAAGTTCATCGCTTTAGATAAAGCTAGTGAAGAAGCCGAATGGCTTCAAAACTTTTTATCTGATATTCTATGTTGGAATAAACCTTTGTCGCATGTGATGATTCACTGTGATAGCCAAGCTGCTATAGGAAGGGCGCAAAGTAACATGTATAATGGTAAGTCTAGACATATTCGTCGTAGACATAATACCGTTCGCCAATTGATCACAAATGACATTATTTCCATTGACTACGTAAAGTCTAAAGAAAATTTGGCTGATCCTTTTACTAAAGGATTGATAGTGATCAATTGAGAATACTGCTAGAGAAATGAGATTAAAAATCTACAATGAAAAAATGATCATATTGGTAACCCTACCTTGTTGAATGGAGATCCCATAAACTTGGTTCAAGGGAAAAACTAAACTATGAAAATTCAGCTGAACACTTGGAACATTAGAATGTTCAAATTAATTCCCTAAAGCAATCCAAGTGCAAGATTACCTGTTGATTGTGGTGAGGGTAAGTCGTCTGGACTTGTAATGAATCCCTAAACTTTTAAAGGTGGAGTAATACATGATACTCTTGATAGGGAAGTCACCTATATAAGTGTGAAGTGAGGGCCGCTTCAATTGTAAACACTTATAAATCCAAAGTGTTGTCCATGGCCAAAACAGACACAACAATAGAACGAAATAGAGTTAAGACTCTATTGTATAAATGTCATTGTCTTGGTGTACACTATGGAAGAATAATTCAAGGCACTATGTCCACTAAGCCGCCAGTACATCCGATGATCTTTACTAAGAAATGTTCAAAGCCACAAGCTACCTTTTCTGATGCAATAGAGTCTTGTGAGGACTGAGCACAAGAGTCTGCATACATGCATATATTTGATTTCCACTCATGTGGGGGATTGTTGGAAAATCAGTAATATAAAATTGGGTATGCCCGATTTTGACTGATTTGTTGATGGCTAAATATTTAATTCGGATTGAATTAAATTGTGTAGGATAAATTTTACGTTCTGAGTAGAAACTCGTGGTATATTTAATTTCTCAATACTGATTTTCAGTGAGTGAGAAATAAATGTTAGCCATAAATGGGCACGCAGAACGTTGATTGTGGGATTCGAATGGTCAAATGTCTTATCCCACATAGAATTCTTAAATGAGATTAACTCTCTTTATTATAAAGAGAGTTTGAGAGGTCACAATAATAACAAAGTTTTGTACCAAATGTTGGTATATAAACCGAGTTGGTTTTGCACTCGGGTTTCGACACAACCCGTATGACATCGTTCCAGGTACATTGAACCTGGACGTGTGACCTTTCAACTACATAACAGTTTCATGAGTTATGAGGTGGATTAATGGTGAGTTAAACACTATAATGTTGCCCATTTATAAGGTTGATTAATGATGAGTTAAATACCATTATGTTGCCCATTTATAAGGGTGATTAAATATGAATTAATCACCATAATGTAGCCATTATAAGGTGGATTGAATGTCATTAATGGCCGAGATGACCACCAAACTTCTCCCACTTGTGATGAAAGTCCTATAAATAGGACATAGAGTTGTAGAGAAAAGAAGACTGAACGAGACACGAAAAATTCTCATTTGCATTCTCAAGTCTCTCATCTCTCATAGCCTCACGCATACATAGTGCTCAGTTCTTGTGTCTATTCCTGTTCGCCAGAACTCTGAAGACTGGTGTGCTACAGCTTCCGACTGTATAGGCGTTGTATCTTTGGGGACATTACGCACAGACCCGTCAACACTATATGAGACGTATTTGTCTTGCGGAAAGATTTCATCGTATCGGCTTTAATCAGTCCGTATTCGAGTTGTATTTTACATTTCTTGTTTAGTTCATATTGTAAGAACTGAACTTTTTAGTCAATTCATAGGTTCCCCTTGTAATCAAAACACAAATTGTGTAACAAATTTATCATTTTCGCACTTACCAATTTTTTTTGTCTATCAGTCGCATATTTTATCACATATATATTATGTTCGAACCTGATGAAGTGAAGTTAACTTATTAAGTGACAGTGTGAAAATATAAATATATTTATATGATGAAATTAAAAAAAAAAAAAAGAAAAAAAAAGACTATCTTCATAGAAAAATAACACAAAAAAAACCCAAGAACAACTCTTAAGTCAAGAATCCATGTCAAACCCAAATTATTGCAACATTGGCAACAATTTTACTTACTAATTGCCCGCCCGAGCCACAACCTTTTCCTTCAAATCATCCACAAACCGCTCAAAATTCCTCTCCGACGACCCGCCAACTTCCAACGCCCTCCTAAACAACCCCTTCAATTTTCCAACCTCTTCCCTAATCCCCTTCCCGACGGACCCACACATAAAACCCTTAATCATCTCCCCAATCTCGTGCCTATCGACCTTCCTCCCGCGCTCGCTAAGCCTAATCCCTAACCCCCAATCGTCGACCACAAGCTTCGTGACGGTCGGTTGGTCAAACTCCAACGGGCAACATATCATCGGGACCCCACACCACATGCTCTCGAGCGTCGAGTTCCACCCGCAGTGCGTGAGAAAACCCCCGACTGCCGGGCTCGACAAAACCCTTATTTGATCACACCAAGGCACGACCAATGCTTTATTTTTAATCTTGTCTTCGAACCCGACAGGCAAAACACTATTAATCGAGTCGTCGTCCCGAACGACCCATATGAAGCTCACACCGCTATGTAGGAGCCCGTGGGCCACCTCCCGGATCAAGTAATCGCTAGCCCGAACGATGCTTCCGAAAGAGACGTATAAGACAGAGCCCGCGGGCCGGGAGCCGAGCCAGCCCGCGCAGTCGGATTCGAACCAGAAGCTCTTGGGGACGGAGAACGTGGAGAGGTTGTGGTAGAATGGGGTGGGCCCCACCGTGTAGCTCGGCTGGTAGAGTCGGTTGAGGGTCGAGAGAGCGTGGGGCTCGAGCTCCTCGACCGTGTTGTGGAGGATGAAATCGGCCTTTCGGGCGTCGTTTAGTCCGATCGACATGCCCTCGGACACCACGTTTTCCGGGTCGAGATATTTCATCAGGTCCTTTGTGTTGATGGACGGGACGCCGGGAATGTAGTCTATCTCCAAGTCCTCGTTGTCTATAGTCATATATACGGCCGGCCAATGAAAAAAAAATATAAAAAAATATGCAAGTGTATGTTAACATAGTCAAGTCAAGTGAAGGGGGCGCGTGGGACCCTACAAAGAATAAGATTCTTAAAACGACAAGATCAATTCATTATCCTTATCAATAATTCAACAATTGATCACATGTAACATATTGTATAGCCCAGTATAGCCCAGTCTAACGGCGAGTCGACCCGTCATAAACTTTTAACAAAAAATAAACACTATTAATATTATAAAATCTGACACTCTTTTTCTATATTGTTTTTTTAGATATAACATTTCACTTTGAAAGTATGCACGTATTTTGGAAAAACGGTTAGCCAGTTTTTTTATTTTTCATTTTATTAACAAATGTGCATACTTTTAAAATTATACGTTAAATTTTAAAAAAACATAATATACAAAAGTATGACCATTTTGTTCTAAAATATTAACAGGTCGATCTGTCTAACAGTTAGTCCACCTCACACGAAAACTTGTGTTTGAAAAAAGTATGAATAACTAACCATTTACCATGCTCACACTAGTATTACTGCTTATACACATACCTTTGCATGTGAGATGGCCCTTTTCTCTAAGAAGCTCCCAATGGTACGCCAAGCAAAACACAAAAGCCGCTTGTGTCCACATACCAACATACACCAGATTGTATTTCTCCGCAACGGCCGCAGGCCACGAGGATATCGGGTCGGCCACCAAGAAATGGGCGGAGCCCGGATCGGATTTAATCAAATTCCCGACAAATTCATCTACATGGGCCGGGAAATCACGAACGAGGAAGTTCCAGTACGTGGAGAAGTTGAGGTCCCGGTCGAACTCGAGAGGAAACCCATCACCGATCGTCGTGTAACTTATGTCGAGGCCCGAACTCCGGGCCTCGGAGAACAAGTCGACGCCGCTGGTGTTGTTGTGGTGGGCCTTGGATAGCTTGAGGTGAACGAACTCAAGATGTACAAATGTGACTTTTATGCCCTTTGAGGCAATTTTAAGAGCAAGATTCACTAGTGGGTTGATGTGGCCTTGGTACGGTAGAGGGATGATGATGGCATGAAGATTGTTCTGTTTTGCGGCCATTTTTTTTTTCCCTATGATTTGTGCAGTGGGAATACAAATACAATAGTGTGGATTTTTTATTATCATTTATGAGATGGTCTGTATTATATGTTGGTAGGTTTGTGTGCTGCCTAACCATGTGCCAAAACTTGTAGTGATGCCAATTCAAACATGACCCCAAGGCCCAAATGTCTCTTTTGGATATTTTGCTCAACCTTTTCAAAAGTAATGGAAAAGTGTGTTGTTTGACAATATTGGGCTAACTAGTACAACGCTGGTTCGTGTATTACACGGGTGTTTGCTATTTTTTTTTCTTACAATCTAAAATTAATGAAAAAAAGTAGTTGAAAGTTTAAATATCTTTTATAAAAATATATATATTGTTATATATTTAGTATGTCACTTTTTATTTGTGCGACTTACCTGTATTATATTATAATAATTTTTTTAACTTACAACATATAACTACATTAAACATATATATCAATTGAGAAATGATTTTATTTTTCTAATGAATTTTAGTAAATATTATTATTTTTTTATTATTATAAAAATTAATATAATTTATTTATTTCATATATACAATATGCATGTCAAATCAAAGATCATCAAAAGATGATTAATTTGATATATTATATATGCAAAACCGAATAACTAGAAAAGTTATCAACTTTTAAAATATATTTACAATTCAATAGCTAATTTTAGGAAGCAAATCAAAAGTCAGGAATATATTAGTCACATAGTGCCTCACTATGTAAAATTAAAGAATTAAAGGGTTATATTAGTACAATTAATATTAAAATACTTAAGTTAGCTAAATAATAGTTATGGAATGTCTGAACCTAGATTATTAATTATTAATATATTAATATTATTTGTTCAAACCTAATTACGAAACATTATTTTTTGACAAGTAGGATTCCGAAGTACCAGAAGCAACCACGTAGGCTCAGCGCATTCGAAAATTATATATAGAGGGATATTACCAAATTATTTTTATTTGCTCTAATTAAACAAAAAATTATGTAAGCCACTTTACTTTTATTTTTAGCTATAATTCTTGTAAGTTCTCTATACACAATCTTTTATATTATTTAGTTCTTTATTCTATGATTTTATGAGAACTAATTTGATAAATAAAAAAAACTCTAAATATCTATTTTTATGGTTGAAAAAACATATATAATATTAATTGAGAAAATCAGAGCCTAATTTTTTTATTATATATTTATTTTAAAGTTTATTGGTTCAATATCTATAGCTTTCATGACTTAAATAAAACTATGCAATTTTAGTTGTACCGTCGCTTCGAACATATGTATTTTTTGCTCTTATATTAAATGTATGACATTATTGAAACTAATTGTCCCATTCAATATATTTTTCTAGATATGCCCGTGTGACCCTGTTTATTATAATATTGTATAGATCTATTTAACATTTCGAATTTACACTACCAAATTTAAATGCACATTAAATAATTAATTTTTATAATTTATTTTCAGTCACCAACAATCAATAAAGATCACTTGAGTAACAAACGCCATTACTACTGTAACATCCCTATATTTATATCACATGATCCCGACACTCGAGTATTACCTTTTTGAGGTCTTTTTAGTTGTTTTTTGTTGTGTTTGTTGGTTGGTTAGTCTTGTAGTGAGTTTTATTCTAGCATTGCTAGCGGGATTCTAGACGGTCTTCTGACTTGTCCTTCTATTCTCCCGTTGAGAGTTTTGTATCTTTGTTCGCACATTTGTGCGATTTTGATTTATAATAGTTCCTCTATGTTTCCGAAAAAAAAAAAAAAATATCACATGATCCCTTTATTTAATCAATGAAACTCTAGATCAGAGCGAGCAGATAACTGGTAACTCTATAACGATCGACTAAAATTTGAAACACACTGAGCAGTGAGCACACAGTAGTTAAAAACATACAAATAACCAATTTGATTGCACAAGACAACCAAATTTCGTCCGTACACATTAACATGCTAGTTTCTCCTTCAAATCGCTAATAAACCGATCGAAATTCTCCTCGGACGAACCACCGTTGCTCAACGCATTACGAAATTTCTCTTTCACCTTCTTCGCCTCTTGCCTCAACTCCTTCCCCATTTCCCCACTCATAAAGCTCTTAATCCTTTCATCGATTTCGTTTCTATCAACTATCATCCCTTGATCACACAAATCGACCCCGATTTTCCAATCGTTGACCACTAATTTCCGATTGGTGGGTTGATCGTACGCTACTGGGTAGCATATCATGGGGACCCCACACCACATGCTCTCAACAGTCGAATTCCACCCGCAGTGCGTTAAAAATCCTCCGACAGCTCGGCTCGAAAGAACACTAATTTGATCACACCATGGAACTATCAACCCTTTGCCTTGTTTGATCTCACTTTCAAATCCAACGGGCAGTACACTTGTGGCATCATCACTCGAACCGAGAACACCTTCTCGAACGACCCATAAAAAGTTCACCCCACTCAAGAGAAGCCCGTGGGCTATTTCCTCAATCACGTGCTTACTTATCTGAACAAGGCTCCCGAACGAGATGTACAATACCGAGTCGGTTGGCTTGGAGGCGAGCCAGCTGGCGCAGTCTGACTTGGGCCAGAAGCTGGTGTGGATGGTGCTTTTGAAAAAAAATGTTGGGCCGATTGCGTAGTTTGGTTGGTATAAAATGTTCAGTGATGATAATGTTTCGGGTTCGAGTTCTTGAACCGTGTTGTGAAGGATAAAGTCGGCCTTCTTGGCGTCCTTGAATGCCGTATAAATAGATTCGAAAAGTATGTGGTCCTCGTCTAAATACGGCATGAGGTCCCTTGTGTTTATTGGTTTTATGCCCGGAATATAATCGATCTCCACATCTTTGTTCTCTGATCATATAGCCAAGAAAATAATTTAACTTCCATAATATTATTCAGCTTATAATTAAGTAAACAGACTTCGAATCTTTGAAAATTAGTATAATCGATTCGACAATCATAGTGGCACGATTCGGCCAATAGATTCAAATAAATTCGTATAATCGACACCCATAGTAACATGATTCCGCCAACATGTTAACGCTTAATAACACTCTCAAAAGTCGGTGTAAGCAATATTTAAACAGTAAGACTGCAGTTTTTCGACGAGTATGCAAATTTTCAAACTGAAATATCATACTCTTAAAATAACATCTACAGAAATATGACATTTCATAGCATAAATATAATTTTTTTAATAACGTATGACGCGTTGACCTGCTTAATGGTTATATTGCATCACACAAGAATATCTTATATTTAAAATACCTTTGCTGTGGAGATGACCATTTTCTTTTAAAAGATCCAAATGGTAAGTCAAGCAAAAAACAGAAGCCGCCATGGTCGAGAAAAGAACGTTCACAAGCTTATATTTCTCGGCAACGGTCACGAGCCAAGCAGAAAGGGGCTCGGAAACCAAGAAATATGCCGAGTTCGAGTCGTTCTTAATAACATTCCCAACACATTCATCGACACGAGCCGGGAAATCACGAACCAAGAAGTCCCAGTACATGTTGAAGTCGAGATCCCGGTCGAAATCGAGAGGAAACCCATCGCTTATCGTCACGCAACGTATGTCGAGGCCCGATTCCCGAGCCTCCGAGAAGAAATCGACACGGGCTGTCCCGTCGTGGTGGGCCTTTGATAGCCTGTGGTGGATAAACTCAAGTTGTACAAAAGTGACTTTGAAGCCCTTTGAGGCAATCTTTAGAGCAAAGTTAACAAATGGGTTAATAATGCCTTGGTATGGTAGAGGGATGACAATGGCATGACAGGGCTTGCTCTGTTTTTCAGCCATTTTGAAATATATTGATATGAATGTTTCTTTTGTATGAAACATGTGTTATGTTATAATGTTCATACATATATATATATTTAATTATTGATTTGTACCAGCTATTAGTGGAGCTTGATGATTGGACATTACATGTTACGTTGCGTGCAGGACTTGAAAACATCTCCAAATTTAGCATTCTCCTAAATTTTACTGTCCTCGGCAGCCACTTTAAATTCCACAAGGGCGGCTGAATTTCTATTAAGGCGACTATCTGGTACAGAGATTTTTACGGTATCATTTTGTCCGGTGTTTTAACCATAAAATACACATGTAGTTAATATAAGATACATGATCCAACGAGTAAAACACTTGACGGGATGATACCGTAGCGGGACCATAACATTTCCTTTTATTTTTACTTGGTTACGGGAGAGTTATTGAATTTGTTGATGGAAATAAGAAAAATAAAAATAAAAATAAAAAAACTAATTAATATTATTGCATTTTTCTTTCTATAATGTCACAAACACAATTAGGTTTCAATTTTACTTGTGATATTATGTGAAAAGAATGTTTAACTACCTTTGAAAAGATTGCATCTGAGTTGAATTCATGAATACATGTAAACTTTTTGAGAGTCTCAAAATGTTTCAATTGAATACTCATAAATTTCAAAAGTCTTAAAAAGTGCGAGTCCTAATTGAATACACTCCCGTTTAACTTTCCGCTAACTAATCGACAACTTCAAGACCAAACATCAGGTTTGAATGCAAGGAAAAAAGTAATATTAAGAGTTAAAAACATGTAAAAATTATCCCTAGAGTCGAATGCACATAACACAGCTCGTGTCAAAGCCCGGATAAGATAAACATACTAAAATTGGTTAAACTGAAACTCGAGTATTGAAAGCGGAAAGTATGTCAGCCTTTCAACCAAAACCGATCTTTTTACCCATAAGTATAACTAGCACGTTCAACATCGACGTAATTCTTTAGAGCCAAAAATTGAACTAAGAAGATATAAACACATGAATCCTAAATGAGATAGTTTTTCCAGATGTAAGATCTAAAAGTCGAGTATGTATTCAAAACACCTACAAATAGAAAAATGAAAAGACTAAAACTCAAGAAAAAAAAAAAAGAATCAGACTCTTCGAACCATACAAACCTTAAATCGCACATCTGCTTCTCAAGGCGACAAGGCCTGTGCATCATCCTGTCAATAATCATAGACCAAAATGAGTCATTACGGCACCAAGTTTGCTTTCTTACCAAATAGAACGATAAAATTAAATAAAAACGAGTCGAGGAAAGCGAAAGAAGGTATCGTGCATTCTGTGCACAGAATAGATTTCAATCACTAACAACTCATTTTTGTACAATGGATAACTGAATTTCCACTAATTTTAAACCAACATCTTTCCTCGGTTGTAACTTGGAATAAAGGATTAGGTGATGCAACCCAAAATCGATAGCATTTTCTTTTAAAACTGAAATTCAGTAACATTTCAGGCAAAGCCACAACGACGAAATAACTCGAGAGCCCAACACATGCTTATGAATTTCATAATGAACCTATTAACAATGCCCTAACACATTTTTATTTCTCTTTCATGTCTGGCAATCAATTTAGCATCCCTTGGAAGCAGTATACAAGCTGCAACACAGGATTACTAGGAGTCCAAACATTATTCCTTACTCCATGATTAAATCCAATATAAACCATAAGAGAGTATAGAAAAACTTAACCGAAAAAAAAGGACAATACGTAAATCATGTCGATTCGATAATCAACTCAAAGCACTTGGATAAAACATTGGCAACAGAAAACTAAAGAATCTTAGGCCAAACCATTCTTTGTTTACTTCAGCACGCAGTCTCCTCCTTTCTATGTGCAAACTCCTGCAATGCAACAGAGCAATAAAAGGAACATCTCAAACATCGAAAGGGGTCGATAATGAAACTGATTAAGCATTACTTTTAAAATTTTTGAGGCAAAAGGTCAAGCTGATCTCATAATGATGGGATGGCATTATGCTAGCAATACAAGTTCATGAAGTATTACTGAGTCATATTAACTATTCAGTAATTTCAAGTGGGAGTACGCCCGGAGTCGAAATTGAAAGTAGATTATCGAGGCATATTAACTATTTTTCTACAGATGCCGAAATAGTTGAAATTTGTGTATGTTCGACTGCAAACTGTATGCAACAAAGGGGACAAGAAGAACTAAGGAATGAGAGAACTTACTTGCCACCATAATCAACCCTGTCATATCACAAACATTTTAGAGTGAGCTCCAAGTCCAACTTGTGCAGATAGCCATACACAGAAAACTATTGAGGCATAGCACGCAGATACTTACCATTCAGCTAAACCATAGATGATGCCAAGTGCTATGAGATGCTCGGTCACACTTCTCAAACTCCACACTTTTTCCACGATGCCTTCTCCTCTAAGAAATGCAGAGTGCAGCCCATTTCAGTTCATAGATAAAATTTAGTACCAACAAAAATCCCAAATCAAAATTAAAGGAAAACACACACACACACACACACACACAAACACATAAATATTACTCAGTGGTAGAGCAAAAACGACGCGAAGGTATCAGAGAAATTGGTGCCTTCCTTGTAAATGCTGCGAGCCTGAATTGTGATATGATCAATGAATTTACCTGATTGTCTGCCTCAACATCGACATCACTAATGGCCTAGAGAAACTTGAAAAATATAGAAAAATGTTAAAGTCATACGATACTGAAAACAGAAACGGCGAGTACCATCGGCTTCCTCAACTCTCCAACCTACACCTTGGCCACCGCGGACGGTGGCTTGGGGAGAGGGAAAGAGTGTTTATTACCTATTCCCTGTATGTTTGGAGGAATGGTGCCAAACAAATTTTAAATTTTTTTTGCGCGAGGGTTTCAATTTTAAACTATACTCATTAAAGACTTACTTTTACACAGGGCTGACATTTTTGGATCGAAAATCGGAATCTAAACCAAACTGAACCGAACTGAAAAAAAAAAAGAAAAAAGAAAAACCGAACCGTACCGACTCACTTAAAACGGTAACCGATTATCGGTTACCGTTTTGTTATCAGTCCAGTATCGATTCCGAAACTATAGAGGTTCGGTATTACCGATCCGAACCGATAAGGAATTTAAAAAAAAAAAAATAATACTTAATGCTAATAGTCAATAACTTAATACTAATAACTAATAAGTAATAACTTATGTTATATAGCTTGTGAATGCATAACACAGCAAGTAACTTTTGGATATAATTACTAAGCAGTATTGAGGACTTAAACCATCAAAAGCAATATTTAAAAAAAAAAATTAAATAGTTGCAGACATTCATTCTGGATATTGGATAATTGGATGCCCTATTCGCGGACAAATTTCCCTCGCAAAAGTCGTGCTCGACCATTTTGCGCATCTATGGATTAATTTATAGTTTGTATATTTCTATTCGTCACTGCATAAGTACAATAATCAAAAATTGATGAGTATTAATTTCATGCATGTTCATCTCACCCATTAATGATAATAAAAAAAAAAAAAAAAAAAAATCGGCCCTCTCACTTGTTATTGGTAAATTTTGGTTTTTTCAGTAAAAAGTTGTTACCGAACCGAATCAGGTCGGTGACGGGTTCATATTTGAAGTTACCTAAATAATAAGTTCGGTGTCGGTTCGGACCGAATCGATACCAACCATACTTTTACATTATAGTCCCAATTTAAGACACCAACTAACTTTATATTTTTATAAAATAGATAAATCAAAATACTATTGTTTTGAAATTTATATTTTAAATAATTATAAATATCTTTAGTAAAATTACTTTAATAAGAAAAATAATTCATTTAAGCTAAATTAATTATGCATAAGTATAATATTTGAATTAAGTTTCGTTCGAAGCTAGTCTTACAAATGTATTTAATACTATTATTACAGGTATTAATTTTATATATATATATTTTTTTTTTTCGAAACGACAGGGGTACTATTATAAATCAAAAGCGCACAAATGTGCGAATAAAAATACAAAGCTCCCAACGGGAGAATAAAATGGGAGGACAGGTCAGAAGACCGCCTAGAATCCCGCTAGCAACGCTAGAATAAAACTCAAACTAAACAGACCAATTACTCGACCACGACCCAAATGGGGTAATAACAACACAAAAAAAAACACAAACAACACAACATAAAGACCCCAACAGGGTAATGCCCGAGTGTGGGATCCCAACAGTATAATAAGGTCACATTCGGGTAAACCGAGGCCAATGGCCCAAACCTTAAACACAAATACAGAAATAAACACAAAACATGAACAAGATAACCTATATTACTAACGAATAAGGCCCTTCCCCAACGAAATGCTAAAACCGACCCAAAGCACCAGCGAAAAAGAGTAACATCCTACAGCTTGACCCAAAATCCGGAACGCCACTCCTGCCACTGCCAAATGCCTAGCAAGGAACAAGTCCCAAACATCGAACCACTCCAACGATGAAGCCGACCCGAAGCTCGAGGAGAAACAACCCGTCCTCCACACGCCAGCAACCTCAAACCCGGCCAACACCACTAGCCTAGGATCGAGCGCACCGGCATCCCAGAACCGCAACACCAGCGAAAAGGGGACCCGAGGGCAAGAATCGAAACCCCTCATCTCCTGACCGCCGTAGCTCAGACGAGCCGAGTCGCCAGGGCCACACCCAACACCCAAACACGCCCCTCCTGCAGCAATCGGTCCCAAATCAGAGAAGAAGTCGTCGAACCCGCCATCGACCACCATTCCAAGACAGGGCCGACAGTAAAAAGCTGGAAACTCGCCGTCGGGAACGAGAAACGTACCCACATCAGAAGTAGAGCCATGGAACCAGTCAACGTAAGTTGTACATGGACGGAATCGACAAAGGACAACCGGGCATCCACCTGCGACAAGAGGAACTTGAATGGCGACCTCCAGTAGAACAGCCCCGGCCGACGAACAAAAACACATCTCCGATGGGCG